TCAACAGATAGTCTTACAAATATATATAATTATTGGTAAATGAAAACAAAACACCAACACCAACACAAAAGTCTGCTTCCAGTGACACACATTATTTTCTTTTAAGATAAAAGGTTAACAAGACACAAAATTCCATTAGCCTCAGTGACATTGATTCAGTTAGAACATTAAGTCTAATTTAGTACAAGAAAAAACAGACTCAAAAATCAGAAGCTACTTATTCATAAAGCATGGAACATTAGCCTTAACCCTTCCATACCTTCTATTTTAAACCTTCACTTTCCAAAAACTGAAACAATATTGCCATTTGTCAAAGACCCTCACTACAAATTGATATAATGTGATTCATTTTGCATGAATAGTACAGTGGTTCTTTACACTGAGAAATGTGGTTGAATAGAGAAATCTGATATATAATGCAATGGAATTTTGTTCTTGACTGTTTCTCTTTGTTCTTGACTGAAGCAATTGGAGTCTTACAGTCTCTCAATATATAACATGTTGGCACTTAATCTGGGAATTATTGTTGTTCTTGAATTATTCCAGCACTGCTAATTAAGATCCTAGGATCCTTATAGAAATTGATTAACAACACAGGATTGAATATTGAGCTTTGCTAAACAGCATTATAATACTACTCAATAAACTACACAATACAGTATACTGTACAGAGTTTCAAACTCTCCCAGACAAGACCTACAGTAGGGAAACAGTTTAAGAGGAACATGGTCTGTGTGTAGGTGTTTACTTCCATCTAGTGGTAAAGGGAAGGTTTAAATATGGATACTTGCCACAACAGAAATTATGCACATTTATGTTTTGGTGAAAGTTATACACCAAAATAGCAACAGTTTTAGAGCTAAGTTTTTGCAGCACAATGAAAAGACACAGATCAATGTTCGTTGCTCTGGAGGTGGGTGTTGTGGAGGAGTAACCTGTTCCCAGTCTTCTGGTTTCATGCTGAAAAATATCAGAAAGATCAAGGCTCGCTGATTGAAGCAGGTAAGCATTTTCCAAATAGTCTAATTTATATTTCACTACTGTAAGTAATTTACATGCTGCATTAAGCTTCATTTTAAGGTACATTGAGAATTCACATAAGATTTTGTTTAAAAGAGATATGGTACAGAGCAAAGACAGACATAGCTTTCTTGTTGCTGACTTATAAAGAAAAAAGAGAGGAGTTAAACACTGGAAACTCAACGTGCAGAGATGAAACTGTAACTGTTGCATTTAATTTAAATTGTTTTTATTTAATTGCTGGAATTTTTTAAGGAAACCTGGCATTACACTGGACTATATGGGTGTGGTCTGCAGGAGTAGCACTGAGATGAAGTGTTATTTTAAACTTCAGAAAAAGTCTAGCTAGCATCCTACAGTAGCTAAATTCTTCTTCTTCCTCCTAAAGAATAACCAATGCAGTAAAGGCCAAATTTCTATGTTGCAAATCAAGGACAAAACTGAATGACACAAATGCAACAGCTTTTCAAGTTCTTTTTTGTTTAAAAATAAAAAAGAACTTGACTGCTGCTGTTTCTTGTTTATTAATGAAGAAAATTATTAATTCAATAGCACTTGTCTGTATTTTATAAAGGTGGAGGAACTGAGGTCTCATACCAGATTCAAGGAAAACTTAACATATCTTTGATAGAAGAATATTTTTTTAAGATTTCACTAACATGCCAAATTGACATACAGTATGACATTTAAGGTCAGAATAACCACCCCATCCTGATTAACTAAAATGTCACTTTCTACTTTGTAGAAAATCCAACAGCTATTTCAAGATGACAGAGACTGCTGAGAGAATTGCTGCCACCCTGACAACCAATCAGAATTGTACAATTGAAATTACCAACCTTACCAGCGGATACATTTTGGCTAGTCCCAGGAACTGTATGTCTTTGGAATTTACGAATTTGATTGTCTTATGGATTTTATGTTTGACTGGACTTTATTTACTCATTTCGGTAAGACAATTAAAGGCCAAATTCTGCACTTGTCTAAAATATCACTCTGAATTCCTTTCCATTTCATGTGCCTTGCTTCTTTCCACAAATTTAATCATTTTATTGATGCCTAAATTAGATGTTAAGAAAGACTGGTGGATTTTAGGAAATGCTTAATTTAGGTAAATCTTTCTTGATGCTCAGCATTTTTGAATACTGAATGTCTATTCATGTATCTTAGTGAGTTTATACAGCAGGACGTTTTTTTTCAAAGGAGAAGGGTACCTTAAAGACAAAGCCCTTGTATCTTGCCTATGTTTCTAGGGTTCTTTAAAGTGAGCACCTCACAGGTTATAATGTTTCCAAATACAAATTTCACTTCATTGCAGAAATTCAATAACATTGATCTGTTTAGTTCTGTTCTCAACAGCTTTCCCCAAAAAACTGATGATCCTTTTGTGCAACCAAAAGATTGGTTGATATCACGAAGATGGAGGTTTGTGCCTTCATAAAAGATGATAACACGGCCACAGGATGTGTGGGGGTCTTGACCTATGACCTCTTTGAAATTAAGACACACAACTGCATTTGCTGGACGAATGTGATAAAGCACTACAGACTGCACTTTCAGAAGTTTGGAATGTTTTATTTTGGGTTGAGTAGCAAGTTTCAACTGCTGCACTTTTTGCATTTAAAAAACTGAAGTAATTACATCAAAGAATGGAGGGAATCCTTTTGTTACAGTCCAAAGAGGTGTATGTGGGGAGTGGTTTGTTGCTTCACTTCTGATCTTGGCTACGATGAGGTCAAAATGTTCTAAAGATCAAATTTCAAATTGGCACTGATACATAGAGAGAAGGAGGCAGACAGAGGAGAGGTAGCAGAATGGAAGTACAGTATTTCAGCATCTCTCTAAGGAATATTTTGGAATGTTGTTGCAAAAACACAGCTGTGTCTATTGAGAAGAAGGGGTTGGGGGAGTAATACATGTTTCAAAATAAAGTTTTCCCTGGACTTTTTTTGGGAGATTTAACATGGTATTTATTTTACTTGTACTAATAACTGTATTCTTTAACTTTTATCTGAAAAGGGCATGTTTAGGGTATTAGCACAAAACCCAGAATTTATCACAAACATATCATGCTTTGTGCTCTTTGTTTCACATCTGCTGCTCATTTCCATTCGATACCTTCTACAGTACATCCTCCTCCTGACCCCAAAACCTCCTTCTCCCTCCTGCTAGTGTGGATGTCATTCTTAATCTGTGCTGTGCTTATGTGAGCAGGATCTGTGGGAGTTTGTCTTTTGTAATTACTGCACAATCTTATAATATATTCCTCTACACAATGACAATTCTAGTTAATTTTCTACATCCATAGCTGTTAACATCATGTTAATCCTCAAGGATCCTCATGGCCTTTTCACATTCAAGATTGATGGGAGCACCTCTCAGTTTTTTCTTTTCATTTTCTTAGGGGTACACCTATGCCCTCTTGTGCCCTCTCATTTTTTACACAATTTTACTTCTGTTTTTCTTGTGATTTCTGGGAGAAGGAAGAAGCTTAGGGTATCGGGGGTTTTGGGGGCGTGATCAGGAGATGGCACAGCTGAAATGAAAAGAGAATAAAAATTAAAATAAACGAATAGAAATGTTCTTAAAAAATTAGAAACATATTTGATACGACAAAAACCGTAATAATACATAGAAAAAAAAATTAAACCACGTTACAGTGTGACATGGGTGGGTGAGCCAGCTCCAGGTGTCAAGAGCTGAATGGATGTTCAGTTGCATTGATGGGCCAGTAGCAACCTATCGTTGATGCAGCTTCACACCTAAGCCTCTGCATTCCCTTCCCTGATGTGTGTGATGCAAACAGGTTTGACTGTATTTGTGATCAAGAAGGGGTTCTAAAAACGGGATATAAATGAACAATGCATCCTTACACCCGGCTACTGTATGTATGCAGCCATTTCTTGAATGGACCATGGGCAGTTAGTCCACACCGAAACCACCCTAAACATTACAGGCACACTTTCACCCTACCCCAGGGAACACAGAGACATGAGCCCTCATCAAGAGGGCTTCAGAAAAGCCCAGTCTGAGGGAATGAGGACTTCTGGACAAAGAAGGATTGTGGGAGGAAGTGCTGCAGTTGGACCCAGGAGGAATAGACTTGGACACCAGAGAACCCAGCATCGTCTGTTTCGCCCTCTCCCAAAACTGGATGAAGAGACAAAGAGGGTAGAGGTGGGAACACCTGGGACACTCTTTTCAGAATGCCGGGACTGAAGAGGGTGACTGGAACGTCCCTATTTCTCTGCTCCGGAGCTGGTTGTGGACTTTTCTTCTGTGAACATTTGTATCTTGTAACTGGGGACCCAGTTCAATAGCGTTCTCCTGCTGGTCAGGGATGTGTGCCCTTAGAGTTAGCTTTTTGTGTGATGTGGTCTGATTGGTGTTAGACAGTGGTAAATGTTGACATCACTAGGAAATAAAAAGGACACTTAAACAATTCTGGTATCTGTTGCTGGTCTGTGTATGCACCGGTGATTCTAGGAGATATTTAGAGATTCTAGCGGCAAGGGAAGGAGGGTCCTAATACCGTTTGTAAATACTAGGTACTATAGCATATTCATCAACACTATATTATCAGCTTAGATTATATATTTCCATAGTGTTCTATATCATATACTGTACCTGTATACCGAGAAGTGAAAATCCATCACTTTTGTCATGTCTAGAAACACGCACTGGTGTCTTGTCAGAGTCTTTTAGGACATTGGGATAAAACTTTTACTTTTAGTCTATTGTTGAAAAAAATCAGTGTTTCTTTTGGAAAAAAACAAACAGTACTGTACTGCCTTGATTTTCGGTATCCTTCACTGAAATTTGAATTTATACATTCTGGAATGAACTGTTTCCTCTCCTTTAGTCTCTCCCGTTACGTCCCTCCCTTCCCCCTCTCCTTCCCTTGTGTGTTACGAAATTTAAAATGTTGACCATAGACCCTCTCTCATTCCCTCCCCCTCTATAATATCCTCCCTAATCCCCACCCCTTTTTCTCTCTCTCCTTTCCCTCCCTGAGTTGAATAGTATCACTGTTTTCCTAATCTGTTGTCCTTCTTCAGGGAAAGCAGGTCAGTGGGTGTCTATTTGTCTGTGTCCTTCTTATTCTCTTAGATTACCAACATTTTCTTCACTGAAAAAAATCTACCACTAATGAGTGACGCTGAAAATGTGTGAAATTGTGCTTATGGTTTGGTGTATTCTATTGTGTAATTCTAAATGCGATTGTGTGTCTCTTTTGCTCTCTCTTTCCCTCAACCAATATGTCCAGTCTTTTGGCAGATTAATCTGTGCTGTGATTTATTAACTTCCTTTCTGTCCATTGTTCAGTGTGCAGTGTTTATGTGCTGTAATGCTTAGTTAAGCCAGCCAAAACCTGTACTATACTATTAACCCCCTTCTCCCTTGTCTGCTCTTGTAGCAGTATCATCTAGTTATTTTAAAGAGGAGTATTGCAATTTTTTTTATTTTTGTAATCTATCAGAGTGACTGTGGGCACATCAAAGACTGCCCAGGCAAGAAGCCAAACTCTTATAAAATTCTAAAAAGCCATGCTTTAGATGCTGCCTGAGCATTTCACCAACAGTCCGGGCAAAAAACCAAGTTCTGAATTCTGACAATATGTTTTTTTCTATGTTAGTTAGAACGTAAAATGCTTTTGTTATAGTAGGTCATCTACATGGGATATTCGCTGTATGCAACTGCTTTTTGCAGATCTGTTGATAAAGGATGATTTTCCTTTAATTTGTAGTTCTTTTAAAAATGTACATTCCTACCATGGGACCGTACTATAACAGTTTTACTTTACTTCTGCAACAGCTCATATTAGAAATTGCACATTTTTTATATAGTTATTACTGTACTGTATATTTTCTTTCTATATCGCTGTTTTACTAGTCTCTATTGCCATATGAATATTCTATTTTAGCATATGTTCACTACAGTTCTTTATCTGCTGTGATTCGTGTAATTCAGTAGTAGTAGTATGGTAGTTTTTTTGCAGGTATTAATGCAATAATACTTTAATTATGCATCCATCTATTTTCTAACTTTTAATACTGCCAGCACACACCAGGAGTTGAACCCATAGCTTTGGTACTGTAAGGCAACAATGCTTACCTCTGCACCAGCATGCCACCCAGTAATGAATTAATACGGTAGCAAAACTTTACACTGTAAAAACCTGTTTTACACTTTTAATCTTTCTTTCTCCATTTCTGTCTCAATTGTTATGGCTCTTATTCCACAAGTCTCTGTTGTCCTTTTGAAAACAGGTTTTTCAGAATCTACTGTATCTAGCCATCTGTCTCTCTCTCTCTCTCTGATTTATTTCACGTGTTGCTTGGTTAAGAGAGAGGATGAACTACTGCACATACTGATTTTGTTCTTTGGACAATAGTTGTAGAGATTCATCTTGACAATTTAATTGAAAAGGAACTTTATTAGCATTTGTGTAACATTTGTCAGCAGCGATGTCTATCTTTCCTATTGTTGTCTGCAGCTAACTTGTGGACATTCAAAAGATCTTTTGCTTTTGTTCATATATATGTGCTAATAAAATAACGGATAATATTGCTAATTTTTCAGAGGATCTCTGAGATGTACCATTTAATAGCTCTGGAGACAGGAGAACAGAAACAAGTTTAGTCCTAGTCAATTTTTTTCTGTTCTAGTATTTTTTCCATCATGTCTCCGTTTATGAGAATGATTAAATATGACCAAAAAGTGACTGTTTTGTGTTTATGAAATGTGATTATACATTTTTGAACATTTGCCAATGCTGAATGTCATTTTTAAGTGTTACAACTGTTTGAATTAATGTTAAAGTGATGTTAGAAAAGGGCAATATTCTTCTGAATATAAATGATCAGTAAATGTTATTTCTACATTTTAAATATGTCTGTTGGTCTAAGACTTTTTTGGGGGTATATTTACTGTATGTGATGATAATTTTGCGATGTGATTCTTTGTACATGTGTGTCTCATATTGACACCCATCGATAGGTATATTCTCCATCACTGTTGTTGTGCCCAGTATTTCACATAGTCTCTGCACTGCACTGATACAATATGATTCTGATATGATTCTGATGACCTTAGTTTCATTAGAATGCAGTGTGCTGTGGGGCTGAAAAGTATCAATTCGATTTGTCTATACTTGTTTTGATACTTTTTTCAGTGTGGGCATGGAAGTCCCAGCTCCCGCAGCATCACCCTCAACTCCAGCCAGGAGAAATGGAGAGCCACAGACCACTGTGGTTGGTCGAACCAAACCATTGCATCGCTTCATCAAGGGAGAGCCTAAGAGCATAGGGGTGAGAGGTGGTGGGGGGCTGGAATAAACAAAAAATACTGTTGATTCTTATAAATCTAAAATGTTAAAACCAGATTATCCTTGCATACAACATTCACTGGCAATGGTATTTAAGGTATTTAAGTCCTGCTGTAAGCGATTCGGGTTATGATGCAATATTGTGCTAAGAAACATGCTCCTTTTAGGATGAATGCATGTCATCGCAGGTGACAAAGGTGGGGCTGGAGAGGCCAAAGTGTGCTAGGACAGGCAGTGAGGTGAGCTGGGCCTTCAGGAGGTGGATGGCTTCAGAGCAGGCAGGCGTCCAAACCCAAGGGGCATCCTTCTGCAGTAGCTGACGTAGTGGGGCTGTAGTGGCTGAGTAGTGTGACAGAAACCGGAGGTAGTAGGCAGTCATCCCAAGGAAGTAGTCGACCTGAGCTGGTGTGGTAGGCTCTGGGATGCGCTGAAGGGCCTCGATGTTGGATTGCAATGGGGTGAGGCCAGCAGGTATAAGGCGAAAACCCACAATCTCAAATGTGTCAAACACACACTTCTTTCCATTGAGGGTGAGGTAGTGGTGGTGATGCACTTTGAACACCCTTTGGAGGCACTCATCATGGCTGGCAAGGGTTGGGCCATGAACCACAATGTCATTGAGGTAGAAGACCACCCCAGGGATTCCGGCGAAGATAGTGGACATCACTTTCTGAAAACAGCTGGGGTGCGGGTTCAGTCCAAAGGACACCCTTATGTAGCAGAAAACGCCGATGTGTGTGACAACAGCTGTCAAGTTTCGGCTGTCAGGGTGGAGAGAATTCTGGAGGTAGCCCTGTCAAAGTTCCAGTTTTGTGAATACAGTGGAACCGGAAAACTATGAGGTGAGCTCTTCCACTGTGGGGAGGAGGTACTTGTCTGGTATTACAGCTTTGTTCACTGCCTTCAGGTCCACACAGACTCGTGTACAGTACATGTCCGAATTAAGTTCCGGTATGTGTCTCTGACTACAATCCATATTAAATACATTTACTGTACTGAATTAATCCCTCTTGTCTTTCTATTAGATTGCTGTCTTATTCCTGGGTTGTGGACACTTTGTTCTTGGTATTCCTCTGAGAATGGACAATACTGAAAACTCCTCCACCACCTTCAGTACTTTCTGGATGGGTATCATGGTCTGTCTTTCTTTGTGGTACTATACCGAACTTTTGCATTCTACTATTCTGTCTGGCTTTGTAAAATGTTTGCCTGCTATCCTGGTATTTTAATTTTGTTCATTACAAGAGAAAATGCACAGCCTCTAGGGAATGTGCACACCATTTTGTACATCAGAGTATGTATGAACTATACACTATACTGTCTATCTGAATGTTGTTAATTTGTCCTCTCCTTGTGTATGTTTTTCTCACACTGTGCAATGGTGCTTATGCAGATTTCCTTTGTCTCATTCAACCTGTTTTTCTTTAGTATATCACTGCAGGTCTTCTCTGCATCTTCTGTGAGAACAAGCCCTCCAAAAAACTGGTGAGTGAGTTAAAAAGTAACAGTCTGTCAACATGATTTTCCATATGTTTGCTTGTCTTCCTGTTTACTTTTTTTTCCCCCTTTTGAACACCATTAATACTCCTTTGTAACATGGGAACAGCATAACATGAAGTAATCAAAAGAGAGGCACATCAAAAACTGAAAGCAACTCAATAAACTCTCAGTTGTATAGATTAGCTCCATCAATCTAAATGTATTTGCTCACATACAATTATTATAATCTTGTTTAGGAAAGCAATTAAACTACCCACATGAAATACAAGAATGTTGTTCTTCTGTGTAGGCGAAACCATAGTCAGTTTCAATTGCTGCAGTTGGTAAAATATACAAAGTAGTATACAGCATATACTGTATGGCATAAACAATTTAGACTGTAAACCTTTTGCTCTGAAACTGTAATAGCATAACAACACAATAACATACTCCTGCTGCATTGCAGGATAGGTATTGCTCCTGGTGGAATAGGTACAATATTAGGTATTGCTCTAGGATAGGTATTACTCCTGATGGAAAGCAAGTTTTGTCTTTGCTTATGGGATCCCTTTCTTAGGGTCCTCTTTCTACAGTATCTCTTCTTTTGCTCTTGTGTTTTATCTACTTCAGAAAGCTGAATTGTTCACACCTGTAACATACAGTAGCAGAGGGATCAGGAGTTTTAATACTGGCAAGTTACTGTAGCAGGTTTGGCAAGTTGTTAGGATAAAATCTAGGGACACGAGCTGTGATCTTAATAATGCTTCTTGTTTTACTTTGTTGAGTGGTTGTCTACAGCAGAGGAGTGATTACCTATTTCCTGTACATATACTTGAGAAATATGAGACATTTATACAGTATGTGAATTCCATTCCTCCATTTTTCAGAGCAGACAGGGTTCTTTCAATGGATTGGGGTTTTCCTTTATTTGTGCTCAAAATCATGTTCAAAATAGCTTCACTTGAGATTTAGGATTTGTGCCACTAATCATTAGCCAAATTAAAACAAGCTGCTAAGGTGCCTAGTAAGGAATCCGCTACTCTGGAAGGAACTTTATGTCATACAAATCTACAAATGGCACATTGTGCCTGACAGTTTAGTCATTTATTTTTTATGTTATTAGTGAAATATGGGCATATTCTCCTACATTTAGGAAATGTTCCTGTGATCTTATATTGTTGCTACTTCCACATAATGTTCCCTAGAACATTAATGTTTTGGAATCTATTTGCAAAGCCGTATTTTCCTACAGTAGTTTTTTTTGACAAAGCTATTATGATCATATTTACCAAATGTAGTAGTAGTTGTTGTCCCTCAGTTAAGCCTACATTCTAAAAATAATACTGAATATGACTTCACGATTTTCACGTATCTTTTTATAAATATATATGAATGATTAATCTCACCAGAAAGAGTTAACCATACATTTTTGACACTCCCAAGTGAATCAAATTCTCCTGCACATCACATTTATAAATTATCCTGCATATCAATATTTAAATTGCAATCTCTGGTCTAAATGACATACATTTTAGCACTGGTATAAGAATGTAGACATGTATTATGACATTGTAGCAGATCCTTCTACTCAAGTAACATGGTGTGGAGGACCTACAGTACAGTATGCACATGAAACCTCCTATTAAAGCAGTGACTGTGCTGTTCTATTACTGGGGGATAAATGTGGTCGAGGCCAGACCAATCCTGATGTTCCTAACCTTCCCAGTCCTTAGTCTGTTCCGTAAAGTTCTGTCCATTCCATTTGCCCTGTTTCTAACGTTTTAAACTAGACAGCAGATCCTGTTTGGCCAGGGATGTATATCACATACAGTATCAGTGAAATTTAATGCCTGACACAGTGGCAGTGGTTAAGTATGTCTCATTAGCTACTATGATACTTAAGGTTTGATTTCATTTATAGATTACCTTGAGATGTCATGATCAGGTTTTGGAGATTCTGATAAATGTTAACTGAAAATGACAAGCTTGATTTCTTCTCACCCAGAGTAAGCTGTATTCCTAACAGTCAGAGCTCTTATAATAGTAGAGAACACTAGGGGGAGCTTACAGAATACATATATTTTAAGTCCTGAGCATTTGTCTGTCCTAGAACTGTAGTGTATTTTGCTATTCCAAACATAATTTCTTCATCTTAAAGTGTTACATAAAATTAGACATTATAGTAAAGTATTCTGTTGTATTCACTATGTGAAATCATGTTTGTTTTGTACTATATATAGTGTTTTGTCAGTCCAAGTGTACAGTATAACCTCTTTCACTCCCTTTAACTTTCTTCCTAGGTGACAGCTTGCCTTTCTGTGAGCATAGTGTCGATTCTAGGAGGAGCAGCGAATTTCTTTGTTTACATCAGCTCCATAGTAAATCAAGTTTTAGAGTACAATGGGTATTTTTACTTCAACACAACGGAAATTGACCCAGAAGTTGATCGTTGGATGCAAATTCACCTAGTGAGTCTGTTTCCTATTGTAATATCAACAATAACTATAATAATATTTTAATATATATAGATAATTTTTGTTAATTGGTTTTAAACTTAATTTTAATGTAATTTCTCCCAGTATTATATTTGAGTCAGTTCAAATTGGCTTGTGCAAGGAAACGTTTATGAGAATGTATTTGGAAATAAAAAATAAATGGTCAAGGAAAAATAACACAGTGGGTTTCAATTACATAAGAGTTGTAAGACCAAAATAGAGACTCTGTACCAATGTGTTCTGTGCCAATGAAATCTAATTTCACAAGAAAATAAGTATCAGAGTGTGCTACAAAACAGCTGGACCAGATGATTCCATTGCATTGCATTGAAGAAAAGAGAAAGTGTATGAATCTGGTAGTCAAGCAAGCATTTAAATAGGGGAAAACCTGCATTAAGATTATGGTTGTTAAGAAATTTGAGCTTTGATAGCACTCTTTTTGTCTGATGTGGGTTTTCCTTAGAACACAACAGGTACTGTAAGTACTTCAAGTTCAGGTTTTGTCCATCGTATTTAGCATCGTATTTATAGTTTTTACTTTTTCAGCTTTTCAACTTTCTCGATAGTTGGTTTCTCGAGAACATTCTGAAAGATTTTGCATTGTTTCTCTTGTTTGCAATAGTGTTTAATGTACTATAAATTTGTTAATTCATCAGTGTGTATGTTGTATACTTCATCTCTCTTGATCTCTTTCAGGGTCAGATAATAATTACGGAGGCCATGTTTATGGTTCATTCTGTTGTTGCTGGAATTCTTCTTATTGTAATATCAGCCTTTGCTGGTGCTGCACTGCGCTCCACTAAGACACAGGTCACTATATTTTTATTAATTGTCATTTTTATTATTACTTTTACGAGTATTTATTGCAACAAGTATTGTTAGCATTATTTCCAATAATTAGATGTACTGTAGCATCATTAGAAGTTAAAACTGAAGCAGCAGTACAGCATCATGTTTAATACTGTACCTCTGTAAAAAAATAATACTGTGTTGTTATTAATGCTACAAATAATAGTACTGCATTTATCATTGGTACTTATGACAACAGTACCATATTATATAGGATTTTCTTGTTTTTATATATTTTCTAACATGATTAACAATCTCTTTCCTCTCTTTCTTTTAACAGGCTATTATCAGAATGCACAATCTTCCTTCGGAATAAAATGATAAATATCAATATTTTAAATCTACAGTATCTATGCTGTATGTATTTATCCTGTAACCTAGATTAATACGAAACACACAAAAAGACACAAGACAATAAAAGAGTGCATGCTGTGTTATGCTGACGCTACAAGTGTACTGTAAGACCAAAAATTTTACCTTGTGCCTTTAACCACAAAACACAAATATCTCACAACTAAAATTGCTATATTCAACCCAGTGCTATATTGTGACATTAAATTGTCAAGAAAAGATTACATTAAATAACATTAAATATTTGAAATAATATCTAGCAGATACTAGGAAGCAGTAAACTCCTAATTTGCCTTGCAAAAGTATTTACCTCTTCCAATAAAGTTACATTTTATAGAACTGCAAAGGATGTATGCACATCCTTAATCAAAATTTGAATGCCAAACTCTTAAAACGAATTGCTTTACTTGGTGAAAGAAGTTAGATGCCAAGTAATTATAATAATATAAACTCCCATACACATTTTAACCATTTGCTGTTTGGGCCAGCAGGTAGACCACAGGTTACCTTTGAACATTCCAGTCAGAGGAAAAGCTCAGTGGAAGTGTGAGATGCTTACCAGAAATGTGGCATGTCATTGGCTATCATGAATATGTTGTTACACACCATACCAAAGTAGGGTATTGTGCAAACACAAAAAAAAAAGAGAACAGAGATATGACAAGAGGCATAATAGCAGAATACGTTTGTAAAATATAGTGTTACATTGTATTGTATTCTTAATTTTTCATATACTTTTATATTGAACTGTTACAGTATATTAATTTTAAAATTCAATAAAAAAATTAAATAACAAAATCTCAAGTGTTTTTATTTGAATAGTATATATACTGTGATAGATAATGTGCATTGTAAGGCATGACTATGCCTCTGTTTCTTCTGTTTGTTTTCTTATCTTCCACCTGCCCAAGATGGCAGAGCGCAGATCCCAGGCGATTTGAGAGGTCCAGTAATCAGTGGAGCAGGATCAGCTGCTCAGCCTTCTCCAGACAGAATAAATAGAACTCCGAGCAGAAATGAAGAAGGTGATGAACATGACAAGATTAAGGATAAATGTTGCTGGATGGTTCCGGCATCTGCCCCGGAAAGGATCCATCTGTCACCTACTGTATCTGAAGGCTACCTACAGTACTGTATGTTTTCCAGTGTGAGATCTTCACCTGCTGCAGTGAAAGAAGCTTACAGTATTTCTCAGTTAGGCAGCTGGAAGAGCCAAGGCTGCTATTGTGAAAGGCTGATACTTTCTCCAGAATGGACGATTCCCAGCTAGAATCTGGAAGAGCTTTTATCTACCACAGCTCAGGGCTGTTCATTTTCTTTTCTCTGGAAGAACCCTATTTTTCACAATACAAGGCTGTTTACATTGTCCCAATGTTCAGCTGGAAGAGGCCTATTTTGGGCTTCTGTAAATTATATTAATACAAAAGGCTTTATTTTTAAAGTGTGTGGCGTGGTGTTTCACAATACGTACTTTTCATCAGGTTTGTATTGTTTCCTGTATCTGACATGTTTACATGTGTACTGTATGTCTGAGTGTGTGAGCTGTGTATATTATGTATTTATATTATGAACTCCTAAATACCTAAATAAAAAATTAAGTGATAATTGATTAGATTAGAGGTGACAGCCTACACATTCTCACATGGGTGTAATCAAGTTTGTGTTTCCTATATAAGGGTGAGCACACACTTTGGTACAATGGCTGAGTGGCAGTCATACCTGTGGTTTTTTTTTTTTGCTGCTTTCTATTTGTTGTTTTTTTTACCTGATAAAGCCTTCTTCCTTTCACTTTGCCAGGCTGGGTCTGTTGCAGTTTTAAGTAATTCAAAGACTTTTTCCTGAGTGTACGTTAATGGTAGCACCGCTGGGAAGCTCTGTTCACCCATTAAGCTTTTTTTTAAAGTTATTTCTTGAGTGCTTCAGCTTTGAACCAGACTCCATGGCTGATAGCCCAGCTCTCAGACATAAATGCCAGAGTACTCTCCCACATGGGTTCAACTCACTCTCTGCAGTCAGAGCTTGCCTTCTCCCCCCTCAAAGATGCTCAGATACCTCCTGACATTCTTTCTCTTGGCACAGAGCTTTGTTTAGCCCCCTGGTTCTCTTGCAGTGTCATACTTTGTTAATGCTTGTCATTTGCAGTATTTGATATCCCAAAGTACTTGGCCACCAGTTTTTTTTCTTATTTTGGCCTTATATTCCTACCCAGCCTGTGATCCTGGCCTCACTCACCACTGGGCCCTGCAGTAGGTCACAAAGAGTCACTGTAATACAGGTTAGATACATCATTATCTTTATTCAGGTAGGCAGGAGTAGTCCTAGACTGAGCACAAAAGGTCACCAGTGTCTGACTGGTTTGACTTTGACTGCTTTTACCTACAGTATGTATTTCTCTGCTGCCTTTTTCTCTATATCCCTTTGTGGTGATAAATGCCCTTTGGCTCTGAGTCTTCATAATCCTGATGTAGCTTTTGCTTGCCTGGGTGCTGTTTGAAGCATTCTTGCTAGTTACTACTTCCAAATGTTTATGTAGAGTCGGTAGAATGAGGATTTTTGTTTTCAAAGTGCCAACTCAAAGGGCAAGTTGCCCTCACAAAAACAAAACGACTCCTTCCTGCCCTACCCAGACTTTGTGGTCTTTGCCGACTTTATGTGATGCACACACAGAACATGCTGTAAGAGTAAAAACAGTATTAAATAAAAAGGAATAATTAAAGTAGATTGCTCACAACCAGACTTCCATCATGATAGTATTTAAATCATCCATGAAATTCTCCAAAATACAACTCAATTTTTCATGTACAGGGAAAATACCGCATAGCAAGTTATATTTCACTAAAAATGTCACTAAAATAGTTCTCAGATGTATTTAACCAGTTTTGAATGACTACTATTTTTCCACAACTGTAACTACTTATCAGTTCAGAAATATTTGCTCTTTAGTTTAAGTAGAATTGATTTATTAATTTAAAAGATCAAAAATGATAAATTCTTCCTCTTAATCTCTAATTCCCGATTTGCAATGCATACTTTATAAACGAAGATCAGCAGTTTGCCTTTAATTTATGCTGTTTTGCTAAAAACATTTTTTTTCCATTATAAAGGGGATATAGGCATCTGCCATAACAATAAAAAACAGCAGAGGGAGCCATTATTCCAGAAATAGGCTGAAAACGCTCAGGTGTCTTTGCTTAGCTTGCTTGGTTACGGGGTAGCATGGTGGTGCAGTGATTAGCATTGTGGTCTTGCAGCACTGGGGCATGGACATGTATGTTGTGTTTTTGCAGTGTTTGCATGGGTTTCCTCCTGGTGCCCGGATTTCCTCCTACATCCGAAAACATACTGAGAGGTTAATTGGCGTCTGGAAAAATAGGCCCTAGGTGTGAATGTGGTTGTGTCTTTGTGTCCAGGGTAAAACGAAGAGGGTTATAAAATGAGAATTTAAAATTGCCTATTGAACTTCAAATTTGACTAATGGACCTCAATCAGCCAGGCTCTGGCTCCGCCGTGACCTTTAATGGGAAGAAGTGGTTAGAAAATAGATGGAAAGTACTGGTTACCTTTAACCAAAATCAATTATTTCATTCATTTCAATTATTATACTGTATTATTATTCTGTATTTCAGAATCTCTATTTATATACTTATTCATGCAACACAAATAGTAGCATTACATCATTTACATTGTTTGTACATCATAATATTCAAAACATGCAGCACATCAGGTTAAACCATTCTTTACTGAATGACATGGCTGGAAATACTAAGCATAGCTATCCCAGTTCAAAAAGGAACATTTGCTTATAACATTTAAGTGAGTTGTGTAGTAATAAGAAGTTGTAACAACAACTTTTCAACTTTGAAAGGGTTTTTTAAAAACTAATTTAATAATTTAACTAATTTAAAAATCCTTATGAAACCTAATCTTAGCCTTTCTTTAAGATGTGAATGTTTATGTTAATTTATTGCTGTTTTCTGCATTTACATATACAGTACGTGTTTGTTTTGAAACCGTTTTCCAGACTATCAGGTGACTTTTGACATAAGGAGATCCAATGCAATATAGATATGTTATATTGTATGTACATAGGCTATAAACTGTAGTATACATATTGCATATACATATGTGTGTGTACTGTAGAGTACATTGGTGATAAAAAAACAGGCTGAAATATTAGATTGTGCCATGTTTTATTACATTCAGTCTTGAGAAATAATTTGAGATATATGTTTATAACAGAGCATATACAATTGCAAATAATCAATTACAACAAGTAATGGCAATGGTACAGACCACATAGAACAGAAAATGAGAAATAGACAGCTACAGACAGCTAAATCCCTCTTTAATATACTGTACAACCATCTGATTGGTTACATAGGAACACTAGAAGATTACAAAAGAGAAAATGTCATTGTACCCTGGTGCTTGTGTTCTCTTTAATAGGAAATACAAATTTAGAAAACAGCTCTTGCATCCAGTGGTGACTATTTCTGTTTAGGAGTTCATCTAAACTAGTGCAGTAGCATGTTTATTGCTTGCTATGCTTATAATTACAATTTGCTGTATACAGTACCTATTTTTTCAGAATGTTTCACTTAAAATATACCACAGGAAAATACTTACATGTAAAATGAAAATGAGTTTTTGTATTCCCATGCACAGACATTCAACCTGAAATCCCTTTTCAAGTTGAATGTTTTTTTTTTGTTTATGACTGACTGAATCCCATTAAATTAGAAGCATAAAGACTAATAAAAATACAATAACTATATATCCAGTGTGTATGCGTACTGTATGTGTCATCCGGCTCATAGAGTTTCATCTATTCTCAAAAGAAAACATCAATATTTCCTTTTCATATAATTCTCCTATATCATAAATGTTAAGGATTAGCAGCACCAAATGTCACTTTGAGATTTTAATTTGCTATGCCATAATTTCAGTAGCAAGGCTTTACTTAAAATGTTTTTAAAAGTTCAGTAATCATTCATAGCCCCAAGAACAATACAATAAATAATTCTATTCTACAAAGCATTTCTCAGACCCAAAGAGAACTTCCTCATATGCTATAAAAACCACATGAAAATAAAGTTCAAAAGAAAATTATGCCTTTTCATTAGCATAATGCTGTGCTTTGTTTTCCAACAGTTACAGTAAATGTTCTGAGAAGATGCAAGATTACATAACATTCTTCAGCCTAAACCCCAATCAACAATCTTGTGCTAAAACACCTCAGAATGAAAGGAAACAAAACTTGACTGTTACAGTCACACAGTATATGGGGGATCACCATTTTTTTCTGCATGACAACGTTTTATGAAGTGCTAGATTATTTTTTTCTGCTTAATACTTTATCTCTTGTTTTCCTTGTCCAATTTGAAGTTCCCTGATGAATGCCAGAAATCTTAAAACATCTCTAAAACATTACGCCGTTCAACATTTTCTCTGAGGGAGCGGGAAGTGTTATATTTCATGTAATCATGTGCTAAAAAGCCTTCATACCAAAATAAAGAAGCGATTACCATACTCACACAAACAGCTAAGCAACATCAATACTGTACCATACTTATTTAAAGCACCTTAGAAAATAACTAGTTTGTTCTTATGGTAAATGAGGCCTGCAAACTCTAATAAATTTAGTTTCTTTGGTTTTTGGTGGAAGCTTAACCCTGGTGTCCTGGTTAAATTCCACTTCAGGCTTGCTTAATTTGGTTTATCTGTATTTCCACCTTAACTCAAATGATAAGATTCACAATAAAAAATAAATGTGACTGGACTATGTGTTGAAATTGACCTTTGAATCTGACCTCGTCCTTTGAATTAATCTAATATACAGTATAATTGATAGAAATGGAATTTCTGAAAAACAAATGCAATATGTCTGACTAATCTCCAACTACAAGTCAATGTACAAATGGTTACCTGTTACCAAACCATCAGATGATACTATGATCAAAACTAAAACAACAGCTTTACAGTTTTCCACTGCTTAATATAAAACCATAGTAAAAACAAGCTGATAAATGAGCACAAAGTCAACAATTATTTTCTTAATAATACAATAATGTGCCTCCTTGTACTCTACAAAGATGAGCTCAGACAGTAAACCTGTTTTTTAGACAGCATGAGCAAAGAGCCTACACAAAGGCTGCCTATTGAAAACCTCATTTGGTTTACACAGTGTCCAGATAAGATTTATTAAATAAAGGTACCAAAATAAAAAAAACAGTTCTCAAGGTCTGTATGTCAGACATTAAATTCACACTTTCTCTGTTAAAAGCAAATCCAACTAGCCTTCTAAAGTGAAATGCTGAGTAACAAAAGCTAAAGTTAGCAAGCAAAAAGGTTACATTAGGTAATGTGCATGATCTGGAGAAACAGTTTTGCTTTCACCAGAAATCGCTATGAATGTTAAAAATAACCAATACGTTTTAATTTTCTTATAAAACATTATTGAAAGCAACACTTGTGTATCATGCAGCTTTCATACAAAATGATTAAGTGAAATTTTTGAAATGGTGTTTTATATTTGGACCAAGATACTCACTTATAGTTTTGTGTAAATAAGATTTCAAATTGTAGTCCCAATATCAGGCAGTCAGAAATCAGACTAAACTACTAAATTATAGTTTACTTGAGCCTCTTCATTTTGTCTCTGGAAGGGAATTGTGTGCATGGCTCTTTCTGCTGTATTTGTAAACAGATAGCAAACTCCAGGGCACCTGATAAACTGCCCATCTGCTGCAGGCCAACATCAAATTAGTAGTTCATGAGGAATAAAGGCACCTATGAATTACAGGTAGATGTGTTTCAGGATGTTAATTGCATACTTAGGCATGGTGAGATTTGCTACCCTATTTGGCTGATGGCCAGCAGAGAGAGGAGGAGGCCGCAAAACGGACACAAAAATGGAGATGGGTTGGAGGAGGGATGTGTGTGCTGAAATCAAGAAGAGGAGTTTGCTCATAATATATTAATCAGAACTGACATCGAAAACGTTTATGATTTAGAAGAGCCTGAGTGAAAAGTTACTTGGATGTCGTCATCCCTCCTTGTCATAAGTTGATTTTTAAAATAAAAACTGTGTTTGAGAGAGAGGCATATAGTACAGTATATTTCATTACAACACAGCAAGATGCATTTATTTGGCACTGCCTGGAGAATCTAAGCTCGAGTAATGACAGCCTACAGTGAATCCTAATTCAGAATGCAGCTGTTTAATATATTTCTTTGGCATCTACCTAAGAGGCTAAGGGCATTTCAGGTATTGCCTGTGAAAAGATTAAGTTAAAGGAGAAAAATGTTTTCACCTACTGCCTGTGGTAGACTGGAAGTTCACAAAAGGAATGGTATATACAGTACAGTATGTATAAACATTATACAGGTATGTATAATGTACAGAAGATGTAAGATGCTCTTTACTACTGTGTATCAAACACACTCCATACATACCAAACATATAAGTTTTAGATTTTATTTGGGAACTTCAGGATTTTTTTTAAGTAGGAAAGAATGAAATATTTAATTTCAACAGTACAGTTACCCCCACTTAAAAAGTGTTCACTTTTTAACCACTGACTCATAGGAAATGAACATGTCTTGTTCGTGTATCTCAGTTCTGACTGTTAGACTGAAACTAAACATGATTGGGAAAAAGTGTTACAAGGGGAAAAAATGCATCATTAATGCCAACTCATTCCAACGATACAGAGATTTGGACAAGACTTCAGTTGCTTTTTGAAGTGCTACATTAAAATTGAAATAGATCCTCAACTTAATATTAATACTTTTGCACTGCCCAAGCTTGTGATTGCCTTGCCCCAATCTTCTATAAGTATACCACGAAAAAAAAAAACAACAAATTATTTTACAACTAACAGAAGATTGAATCTAGCAAAATTCAACAACCAGATGAACTGTAACAGCTCATAGTCTCAAATTACATTCTTCAAACCCTGTGCCTCTATTGGCTCCAAGCTTGCAGGCTCCTGAGTTTCGATGATTTCTTATCAGCTGCCCTGGTCTCACTCTGCATTGCCTCGGTATGTCACGTTCGTGAAGGTGGAGGTCGCTCCTTTGTACAAGGGGTTGTTTGCCTAGAACAAAACAAAGGGTTATTTTACACTACTGGAATTGCTGAGTGGGCAATGTGGGGAGCGTAGTGGTTAGCATTGCTGGGGTCCTGGGCTCAGTTCCCAACCTGGAGTGCTGATTGCGTGGAGTTTGTATGTTCTTCTCATGTGTGTACGGGTTTCCTTCCACAGTCCAAAGACAAACTGGCAGGTAACTGGCTTCTGGGGAAATTGGCCGTGGTTTACATGTCTGTGTCTGTGTGTGCCCTGTGATGGACTGGCATCCCATCCAGCGTCAGCTGCTTGCCAGGATAGGCTCTGGCTCCCCCACGACTCTCTGAAGGTTTGGCAAGCTGCATGCAGACAAGTAGTTGGAAAGCTGGTGTGTGAGGGAATTCAGGAGATTGACTCTCATTCTGTTTCTTCCTGGTAAAGTTAACACTGGGGACAGTGCCAACATCAAAGCAGAACAAATTTACTTTTTGAATCGCCTGATATATCTAGACCAAGCTACAGTATAGTGCTCTTTGTCGCTATAATGTATGAGTGAAGAGTATTTCAATTGTTTGTTAAGAGGCTGTCTAATTCAAGTAAAACTCAGTGCAGGAGAAATGATGTAAGAATGATCTGATTAGGATATCCTGACCTGCTCCAAAATAAGCCTATTAGCAAATAACATATTAAAGGAAATGAGACATTTTTTCTTCTGTTCTTAATACACTGTAAGAGGAAATTCCATTGGCTTCTTAAACTTCCTGATCTTTGGATAAATCGTGTACTGGTTTTATGAAGAACAAAGCCAATTTATTTGGGTTATGGTTGTACACCTGCAGCGTCTAAGTTTTAGTTTGATTAGGTTAAGTCAAGAAAAATAATTTAATGTTTTAAAAAGTAACAAATAAAATAGTTTTTTTCAGTGTTTCTGTAGTACATGTCACCAAATGGGTTTCACTATCATCAAATAGAACATAAGATTTTAACACTGTGTGGTTCCTAATGTCCCAGTATAGCAATGGGAACAGTATACTTCGGATGAGACATAAAACTGTGGTCATTAAAAATCCCAGCACATTTCTTGAAAAGAGTAGGGGTGGTACCCCAGTGTACTGGCCAAATTTCCCATTAGCCTTTAACAATCATGGTCTCCTAATAAACCCAAGCTATGAACTGGCTTCATCACTGTGCTCTCCTCCACACCGATAGCTGGAGTGTATACTGACGCGCTATGGCGGCTGTCGCATCATCCGGGGGGGCCGCACATTGGTGGAGGTGGAGGGGGTCCCCATTACTTGTAAAGTGCTTTGAGTGGAGTGTCCAGAAAAGTGCTATATAAGTGTAAGGAACTATTATAATTATCATTTTTGTGTGGGTTTCCTTCAGGTGCTCTGGTTTCCTCCCACAGCCCAAAGACATACTGGTAGGCTATGTAGCTTCTGGGAAAATCGGCCATGAGCAAGTGTGTATACAGTATCAGTGGCCTTTGTGTCCTGGAAAGGATGGGCGTTCCATCCAGGGTGTATCCTGCCTTGCGCATGTTGAGATACTGTAGATGGATGGTTCTATGTGTAAAAGTTTTAGCCAGAAGGTGGCAGCAAACAAACACAGATGCCAAACCTTGATTAAGTGCCAAGGATTCTTAGTACCGGCTAAAAGGAACATGGATACCAGAAGAAAAACATAAGACAGCTTTCAAACAATAGATTAGAAAGGCTTATCTATGCGAGGAGGAATTAGAGAAAGCTAGATTGGTTTCCATATATCTGCTAAGAGCGCTCATTTTGTGGTTTTGTGTAGAAATAGTCAAGTCTTTTACAGTCATGGCAATTGGGTGTCATTAAAATTGACTTGTATTTGCACCCAAAGGAAGATGATGTTACAATGTTTGTTTTGGTGTATGTGCAATAACCTGGTGACTGTTAAAATGCATGCCATGACACATTTTCATTTCCAAAACTGTGTCCACAATTGTACTTACAGTACTACTATAACATTATAAATTATCTAAATATTCTAAGACAGGCTTTTCAGTTTTTATTATACACGGTATACTGTATGTAGTATGGTAATAGATTTGGAAATACCATGTACAAAGTCTGGGGGGAGACAAGAATGCTGTCAATTAATATCCTTGGATCCATGAACAGATTCTCTCCTTCTCTTTTATAGTTTACAACAGTATTAGAGGGTTAGGGCAGCCCAGTGTGTAAACTAGGAAAGTTTTATAATACTCTGTTATAAATCAACTTATTTGCACATTAAATGGTTTCTCCTAACACAGTTACGTCTAATTATTGTAAAGGTTTTGACACAACCTGTACAGAGAGACTAAAGGTGGTGACAGTGGCTCTGGGGCTCCAGTACTTAATTCATATTTAATATGTCTTGATCCAACAATTGCAACACTGTGTCTGTCGGCCTCTCATGACTCGAGATTATATTGGTTGCAGCATGTTCAAGATGCATCAGCCAGACAGTTCAAAGCTTCACAATTTATTACTCAGGGGGAGTGATTGCAGGAGCTTCTAGTTTAGAGGAGGACTGAATTAAAATTTTTTCTCACTGTTTATAAAGCTGATCATTATTCTGGTTTCTTACAGGACATGTTTGTAGAATACAGCCCATAAAAATGCTTAATTCTTAATCATCCACTATTCCAGATACCCAAGACCTTTAGTTGCATTCTGTTATTGGAGTTACTTTCCAGTCTGATTTATGGTAGAAGTGCTGGTACTGTACATCAGTCTTTAAAATCGTATCAAACAGCATGTCTTGATGCTGCTTAAATATTAGGAGACACAATACTAAAAAAAACGTTATTGTATTTAGAAGAAAGTATCAGTATGTTCAAGCCAACATATTAATAGGCGAGTACACTAATCTGATTATCAGTTATCACACAAATCAACCCCAGCCATACAATCATCAATATCTGTAAAATAGGAGATAGTTCAGGTACACAAAAATATTAATGGTTCTAGGGATTATGGGAATACATACTGGGCTGTCCATCAACCTCTCTGACCATGTTTCTTTTTAAATTGTTGAACAATACCGTCGTTCGGATGAGACGTTAAACTGAGGTCCTGACTCTCAGTGATCATTAAAGACCCCCAGGCATTTCTCGATAAGAGTAGGGAGTTATCCCAGTGTCTGGGCCAAATTTCCCCCTCGGGCTTTACCGTGGCCTCCAAATAGTCCCCATGTGTGACTGGCTTGCACCTGCCCTGCGATGGACTGGTGTCCCATCCAGGGTGTACCCTGCCTTTTGCTCCTTGCTTGCTGAGTAGGCTCTGGCTTCCCACGACACAGTTTGGTATAAAGCAGTTTGCCAAATGACATGACATGTTGAACAATACAATATACAGTATGTGTATCTGGGTATACACATTACAAAAAAGAAAAACAAGCATCAAACTGAAAATGATAAAATTAAGTAAAAGATCTATCATAAGCTTTAGACCTGAAGAAGAAAGCATTTGATTAGCATCCTCTTATTAATTTATTTCCTTTTCGGACTTCAAAATCAGCAGCTGCCTTACCGTATCCCATTTGGCACGGGCGCGCTCCTCTTCAAACTTGGCAAACTCGCGGCGATCATGAATGGTGACCAGGAGTTTCCAAATCAGCAGAGCAGCCAGGCCAATGAAGAGAATGGCTCCAGCCACAGACAGTAGCACCACCAGGATGTCAGCACCTGGGGGGCAGTCTGGAAAATACCATTCAGACTTGTCAATAACCTGGTTCAGTGCCTATAAACTGGGTTATGAAAACTTCAAAGGCTCCAAGTCATGGTTCTTCTGTAGAAGGTTATTCATTTCCCTTCTATTCCCTTACATAGCTGTACATAGCGCTAAATTGATGTAAAAATTTTAGTTAACTTCATGATTTTACGTAGTTTAGTAGAGACGACCATTCACAGAATAGGACGTCTCTTTTGCTTTTAGGCAATTGTCTTGTATAAACTCCACTACATAAAAAGGAAACATTTTATTGAAATGTATTCATGTGGCATTTAGCAATATGATAATAGTATATACTGTGGCACTGCCTATGTATCTCCTTTACTTATGTTTTAATTTTACTTTAAAGATCTCAGGATAAAATATTTAGGAATGTAAACTTGCCTCTAGCATGTATAGACTTGCAGATCACTGAAAGCGAGGTTTGTTTTTGAGAAGTGTCAAATGAATTTGGAATTCTGAGGCCACTTGTAATAGGTTTGCTTACAAGTATTTTAACTATATACTCATATTAATGAAACAAATATATTTTTAACTCAGTCTGCAATGCAATCTTTTAAATTAAGCTACAGGTATTAGTTTTTAGTATTAGTATTTCATTTAATCTACCATCTTTAAGTTAAGTTCAAAAAAGCTTTATTACATAAATGGTGTGACTGTGGCATGTCTTTCCAATCATGAACTTTTTTATTGGTGATAAACTAGGCTAAATATGAAAACTCAAGCAAATTGTTAAATATCCCAAATTTGCTGAAACCTGCAGTATCACATCAAGATGAAAAAAGTTAACCTCATGAGCTCTGCTGTAGAACAGCAGCTTCATACTTGTCTGGGATAATAACAGTGAACAGTAACAGGTTGTAACAGTCAGAAATAATCATTCAAAAAAGACACGCAACTAACCACAATTATTTAGCAATAGATCAAAATGAAGTCAGCACATGCTGTAAATTGCAACACTGTACATGCTTTTGAGTGTTTGATAGTTTGGTCACGGTTATTGATTATCATGGACTTTATCTTGGCAGACAGAATAAGCATGTCGATTTCTACTTCTTATTGCTTTAAGAAACAAGAGTTGTAGATCTTAGATACCCTATTTCTAACATGATTTTTAAAGTTATTTTAATATGAAAAAAATGATTCAGTTACTGGAATTTCAGTTTGTATATGTATTTCTGAAGCATGATTCTCCAGTATCAACAAAAGTGGGACTTAGTACCTCAAACCAAACTAACTTTTGCATTGATTATCCAGTCAGAATTTTTTTAGCAAAAAAAAAGTAATCCTCTGCTGAACTATTCAAGGAAGTATTTTCTATGATTGTTACTATTGCTTTAAATATTATTGTTTCCAATCTTCTATTCTAGATATTGTTCTAGAATAATGTAAATGTGCAATGGTACATCCATTGCTAAAAAAAACTCCTCTATTTCTTAAACACCATAATACTTTAGGCTTACTTCCAATCTGCATCTAGGTCTACTGTAAAAACGGGATACTGAGAGATCTGCAAACTCAACATTTTTCATGCTGATGACACCCAACTATAGATATTTATCTCTGAAATGAGGTGGTACTGCAACTTTAAATTGCGTGGTTTGAAGACACAAAGCAATGGCTGTTAAAAACTTTGTATTGTTGAATTCAGAAAGAACAGGTCACCCTGCTGGTATCAGATTAAATTATACTGAGCAAATGGTTCCACTTCTAGGTAAGACTGAAGGTTGAATTGAGAAAAATGGGTGGGAAAATGTTACCTATTTCTCTCAATCAATTTTAATATTAAGAATGCATCTAAAGTATTTCAGTTTAGAATTAAAATAATATGTGCTCTACATGGTGCTTACAGTCATGTGTGATTCTGCGATGCTTTGCATTTTAAACCATGTTTAAACTCAATTGTGCAAAATTATGGTGGCAAGATATTATCATGTATGACTGCATTATGTAGGTGATCCTTCATAGCTCAGAGTTGTTTCTAAGGTGCTGTTTAGAAGTTACAAAGCCTTATTTAAACAATGACCAACTTAATCCTAACTAGGATGCATGGTTTCTTATTATTCTAAAAATAATAAAAATGATTATAGGGGAGAAGGGCTTGCAAGCATGGGGGACTCTAAATTATTGTATATTTTATGTGGGAAGGACCAATGAACTCATTTTAAACTCATTTTAAACTAGATTAAAGCTATTGTTAATAATCTATTTTATGCATCCTATTTGACACATTTATACTGATACAGTATGTTGCATTGTCTTATATGGTTGATTTAATTTAATGAGAATGGTCATAATAATAGATTAGGTTTATTTGGCAAGACCAACAGTTTGTTACATGAAAAGCTCTTATAAATAAAGACTGATGGTTTAAGAATTTGTCTGAAACAGAAAAGCATGAATGTGCTTGCTGAGTGCTTCAAAATTCTCTCTAAATGTCAGAATTTATTTGAGCTGTCTGCATACATCTCTCATTTTCACATGCACGGGCAGCCTCTTGTCCTGAAAGCAATACTTTAGAACACACACCTCCTTTCACTAAGTTTCACGACATGATATTACAGCTATGATACTTCATCGTGGGTGGCTTGGTGGTGCGGTGATTAGCATTGGTTCCTTGCACTGTTGGCCCCTGGGTTCACTTCTGGGCCTGTGATGCTGTCTGCATGAAGTTTATGCGGTATGTTCTTCCCATGTTATCATAGATTTTCTCTAAGCGCTTAGGTTTCTTCCCATAGTCCAAAAACAGATTAATTTGCTTCTGGGAAAACTGGTGTGAACATGTCTGTTTGTGTCAGTGTCTGCCCTGCGATGGACTGGCATCCTGTCCAGGTTGCACCCTGCTCTTTGCTTGCTAGGATAGATCTGGGCTCCTTCACAATCCTGAATTGGAAGAAACGGTTAGAAAACAGATGGATGGGTGGATAATTCAACATAGTGAAAGGACTGTGACATACTGTACTAGCCTTACAATAATACCTGTGGTATATACTGTATCATATATATATAATGTATAATGTAAAGCTGGGCTTTCTAATCCTGGTCTAAAGAACCCGATTATTCTAGTTGTAATTCCAATTGACAGCTGGTAAGCAATTCAATCCTTTAAGAAGTCATTTATTTAATGTGATATTTGTCATCATTTTCAGTAAATACAAATTGCAGATTTTCACTTGCATATAAAATCTGAAAATCATCATGAAACTAAGTGCACAAGCTGTAAAACTAATAAAGCATTGTTACCCTGACAGGAATTTGCTTTGTATTTACAATTTATGAGAAGCAGACATCACACACAATAGGGCATGTATAATTACAATTTCAAAAGAGCCATAATGCATGAAACACAAACATTGGAATTATTACAAAATCAGGCAAAGTAATTAGCCTGAATTTCTTCACTGGATTAATAATGCTCACAACTGTCATGTGGAGCAAACACTGTTAATAATAATAATAATAATAATAACAATATGTTCATGATTTGGTCATTTTTTAAAACCCATTGCTTGGGAATACACTGCTGTTTATTCTCATTCATGACAGAGTCTCTGGCCCTGTGGTAAAAGAGTACTGAGTGTAAAGTATTTGAAGTGTCACTTACGATCCTTCTGTTTTATAAAGAGAGCAAATTAGATCGTAAGCCATTTCAGCAATAGTGCTGCCTATTTTGACAGTTGTACTTACAGTAGCTACTTCTTGTTTTGAAAAGAGCGAGCTCCATATCAGCACTGAATAGATAATGTCAAAATGCTTTGAATGCCAGTTCAATAGAACAGTAATGAAAGGATTGTGTGCACACTGAATGATCTTATCTCGTGGAGAAATACAAAGCATTAATATCATGAGATCTTGTGTATATTCTCTGGCCCACTCTTGCAAATTTATTGGAGAAGCTAATAACTAATATCATGTGTGTTTTTTTTTAGACTAATCAGATTAATACAACAACTTTCCCTACGTAAAAGGGTCTACCTAAAATAAATCAATGCCTTTGTCATGGCTTGTAATCCCTACCTTACAATGAGCAACTCTGCAAGAATATTGTTGCAAAACATGGATGATGAAAACCTAGTAGCATCTGCAGGCTTGGCCATGTGGATCACACAAGGCCTGATGAAAATGGGTGATATTTTTACCATACAGAAGCACAACCGTAAAGATCTGGTACAGGTCACGCAAGTACACTGGTACTGTACATATCTGAACTCCAGCTTCCTATGTTTTTCATGCTAATTTTCAGCAACATGGTTTTGCACACAGAGAAAGTCATCTGCATAGCAAAAGACACATCAGCATGGAGGACTGTTCTAAAAAATAAAGGCGGGCGGAGCAGTGGCTCTGTGGCTCAGGACCTACGCCTGTGGCTGGAATTTTGCCGGTTCATATGCCGTAGCCGGCAGAGGAATCCTACTCCGTTGGGCCCCTGAGCAAGGCCCTTAACCCCAACTGCTCCAGGAGCGCCCATATAAATGGCTGACCCTGCGCTCTGACTCCAAGCTTCTCTCCCTGTCTATGTGTCTCATGGAGAGCAAGTTGGGGTATGCGAAAAGACAAATTCCTGTATATGGGAAATTGAACAAGTTTGTACAAAGACATTGTATATGGGGAACTAAGTAGTCTTATCTTATTAGTCTTTATAAACACGAGGATATCCAGGAGACATACATGTTTATGTATAACACAGTACCATCAATGTAACTCTGTACAATCTGTACTGCTCAGATACAGAAATATCACACAAGAACAAACTATTTTTAGGACACTATCATCCCCCTCCACCCCCTCTCTTCTCACTCAATCTCTTGCCTCAAAACCAGGAGTACTTTAACATCTTCCTCTCATGAGATGTGTGGTTTTCAGTAACCTCTTTTGGAGCTAAATACTTTCAAAGCTGTTTTTAATGAAAGTCTATATTGTTTTTAATGGGGCCGCAACAAAACAAATTATTCCTGTTAGTGTTATCTTTAGTTCTAGATTTTAACTGCAGTGACACATCCGTCAGGTCAATACATTAGATATGGAACATTGTAATTATGGCAGCCAAGAGTGATGCAATAGTACCTGGTGAGGGATACCACATTTCAATAGAGAAAACACATATTTTTATTTCAAAAATATGTGGAATAATAATAATAATAATTTTTATCAAAGTACTTCAACTAGTTCTTGACCAATAGTCTTGATAAAAGACTTTTTTATGGGTTGTTATGCATTTATTTGTTTTGATAAGACAATAACAAAGGCTTCAAATGAGAAGTGTCATGTGGTCAGTTTTGCACATTTGATTGCTAGTAGTTTAATATCCAGGGGGTTCTCAGAAATAGAGGCCAACTTTTCACCATCAAGTAGTAGAATTAAAAATCTAGATACTCTGCTCTGACAGTGCTTGTTATGGATCTACTAACTCACAATTCTAATATTAATATTCTATACTTAATAGTAGCTTTATATGGGTGCATTGGTGGAAGAGTGGCTGTCATTGCTGCTTTGCACCAAGGGGCCCTGGATAGGGGTGCTATCTGTGAGGAGTCTGCATGTTCTCCCTGTGTCTGCTTGGGTTTCCTCCAAGTGTTCAGGTTTCCTTCCACTGTCCGAAGACATGTTGGTTGGCTAAGTGGCTTCTGTACACTTAGCCCTAGTGTGAAAGTGTGTGCGTGTCTAGGTTTGTGTCTGTGTGCCCTGCGAAGGACTGGCATCCCATCCAGGGTGCATCCTGCCTTGTGCACATTACTTGTCGTTATGTGTGTCCGGTGTGTCCCATGACCTTGCACTGGAAAAAGCAGTTTAGAAAATGGATGGATTGCGGCATTATTTATATTCTAGGCTTCAGTTAGATTGAAGCCTATAAATTGATGGTCATTGTATGTAAACATATACAATATAAGGGGTAAGAAAAAGTTTAAACCCTAGGTCCAGATTGTTAACTTACATTGAAAAGGAGAGGTGCTTACAGAAGACTTCAGTTTTAGTGTGGCCTGAAGAAACTTGCAGCTGTAGAGACTCCTAAATATTCCTTAAAATTAGGGTCAAAAGGTCTGGATTTTGGTGTCTGCTATGCGAATGAATAATGTACCTTCTTGAAAAATTTAGAATAAAAAAGTTTAAAGACTGTGTGTATACAGTGTGGGGAATTTTTCAAAAAGGGTTGTTTTAATTTAACAGATTAAAATAAAATATGCAATGCTCACTGCCAATAGATGTTTCAATCCTTGAGAAAGTTAATATATTGCTATATTGGTTTTATTCCATTTTAAAAGTCATCCTAAAATGTTGAGGGACAAAATTAAAGTGTTACTATTAAAGCTGAACTTAAATTGGTTAAAACATATTTTAATAAGTCTTTAAAATTATATTATAAATAATATATTTCCCTTTTAATTTAAAATACACGACTTTTCTTTAAAATTGAATTTGAAATTTAAGAGAACCTTTAAATTTTGTTTTTTCACAATATTGCGTTAACACCTTAGATAATTACTGTATGAATCACCACTGTTTTTTTTTACTGATCTTTCCCATAAGATTAATATTTTTCTCTTCATGGTTAACTAGAAAACCAAATATACAGTATCATATTAAAATATTATATTTATATATCATCCTGAAGATGACTTAATAGCTGATTTTTTTTTATAATGCCTGAGATCATGATGAAGAAAATTAATTACAAATGCATGACCCTAAGAATTAATAATCAAAGATAGAAAACATGTTTTTAACTGAATAGTTCTAAAGGCCAACGTAAAAGTGAACTGAGAATGTCCTGTAGGCTGTAAAATGGTGACAATAAAGATTTCATTTATTGTACTGTCTAGACTGCAATAATCTCTCAGAACAGCCTTTCCCACTGCAAGCTGCTGCTTACACAATCTTCAACTGGAAGGGAGTGCCTCTGATTCCTGCAGAGACTAGCCAGCTGCATTGGCTGAATGCATACAGTACATTCTCGTATATACTGTAGCTAACAAGCAGGAGAGGAATCCTATCAGGATGCTTAGATTGGGTGGTTTGAGTGCACAAATAATTGAAAGATGTGCTTGAATGAACTCAAATCCACAGCAGTACAAAAACCATCAATGAATGTCATACCACATTTAAAATAATGAATCTTCTTGATAAATATACAACCCCACCCCACTGTATTTCTATACTGTATGTTTTTTTTTTATATTTAGAGCAAAACTGTTTTGGCTCCTCTTTTATAATTGTTTGTGTTATGTTGCAGAGCGATTGTGCGTTTACTGTAGGTTAATGAAAATAAATTAACAGTAGAAGCTCCCAAACTTCTCTGGGAGTGTAACCCTGGCGTCCTGGGCAAATTTTCTATTGGCCCTTACCAAACATGGCCTCATAAAAATTCCCATCTATGAATTGGCTTCATTACTCTGCTCTCATCCCCACTGATAGCTGGTGTGTTGTGAGCGTTCTGGCGCACTATGGCTGCCGTTGCATCATCCAGGTGGATGCTGCACATTGGTGGTGGTGGAGGGGAGCCCCCATTACCTGTAAAGCGCTTTGAGTGGAGTGTCCAGAAAAGCGCTATATAAGTGTAAGCAATTATTATTATCATAAACGTCAGATTGAGACTGTGTGATAGACGTTTGTCTGTTGAGATTCACTCCATTTTTCTAACATTGTGATATGAAACAGGAACACACACTGCGAGAGAGTGCAACTCAACAATCATCCTACCTAATTTTGGCTGTCAGGGGTGGAATGCTATAATACCATGCCCTGTTGCTGAGAAAACCACAGAGTTATTGTGTTGAAGGATAAGAGGCCCACACATGTATTCACGTCACTCTATTTCTTCATAATGTGTTATTTGTTTCCTCTGACATCCCTAATACACTCCAGATTGCTGCACCATTTCTCCATGGCAATAAACATTTGGACAAAGAATCACCTGAGTTCATCTTGCGTATCATTAAACCCTGTGGCTCCTGGTAAGGCCTGGTTTTCTCGCTGGCGTCATTGCCATTCCACACAAGTCTAAGTTTGTTTTTATCTTTTTAAACCTGTAGTCCCCCAGCCACTGCAACTCCCATAGCAACATAACTACAACTTGAGTTCCAGAGATAAATACAAACCCCAGCGTGTACTGTGCTATGTCTGGGTTAAAGGCTTGAAGGTTTAAGAAAATGAAGAGTCAGAAAAGAATGCTTCTTTGTAAAACCTATTTCTTCATCACAGAAGTTTAGAGGAAAGGTTAGACTAATTTCACTTCTGCTCCCTTGAGTGTATAATATCACTTTGTACACTTCTCTCGCACTGCTCCAGTCCACCTCATCCTTACAGTCAGGCAGCTGCTCTTTGATAGGAGAGTTAAGCCTATCTAAGGACATGGAAATGTGTAACAACTAATTCGTTTGTTCCTCTATCACATTCATTAGGATCTAACTGAACTATTGAATGGTTAGCATTCAATAGATAGCACCTGCATGGAGTCAGTTTGTTCTCCCTCTGTTCATGTGGGTTTACTCCAGGTTTTTTCAGTTTCCTCCCACACTCAAAAGACATACTGGTAGTTAAATTTGCTTCTGGGAAAATTGGCCCTGGTGTAAATGTGTGTGCCACTGTGTCTGTCCTACATTGGAGGGTGTATCCTGCCTTCCACCCTTTGCTTGGCACTGTCATGTGTAAAAATAAATACATGCGCGTGAAATACTTGTCTCTCACCTGGCTCTTTGACGATGTATAGAACTGATTTGCCGCTGGGATCTTCATAGTACTGAAACCTCTCCACACAGTCATTTTCATCCTTGTATGTGCAGTTCACAGCATTCTTGTCATGGTTAGCTAGAAATTGGATCAAAAGAATGTTAGAATAATGTTGGGTAATGCTCTCACCACAGTGTCTAGAAATGCTTTGTTTAATTCAGTACATACTTGGCTGTTTTGTAATTTAAACCTATGTCATGTGGAAAAAAGGGGGATCTCTGATGACGGTTTTGCACTCTGGCCACAGTTAAGGTAAATGTTCCCAGATGGCAATATTAGAAGACTTGTTTCTTACTTCCTTCCTCAGAAAGAAGGAGCTACATTTTGATAGTTACAAAGAGCTAGAATACACAATCTAATCCTGGAAATAAAAGGCAAAAATATGTGTAATCATGAAAAAAATAAATGTCATTGGTTTATAAAGTGGGAAAATTCGAAAAGAATTTGATAGAGGTTATCAAAGTCCTGAAAGAAGATGTAGTTGAACCTACAAGACAGATTAATTCCTACGATCTTGGCCCCTAATTATTTCTCAATTTTTTTTCTTCCCATAAAAGGCAAATGAATGCATGGAATGAGCATGTTTTCAGTGTTGGAATTAAAGTGAATTCTGAACGGAATAGATGATTTAAAAAGACACACAAAAATACTCAAGACTGTCTCAAAACACAGTGGGACATCTGATAACATTTGAATCACATGATTGTTTTTTTATTTTGAGTGTTTGAGATAATAGCTAATGCTTTATGAAGTTTACTAACTTCAATGAGCACCATTGATCAGAAGTAGCATGTAACAAGTAAAATGCATTGAACATTTTTGAAGTCTCCTTATTTAGGCATGTAATTCTGTGTAATTTCCCTGTCATACCAGCAAAATTATTTACTATGTTAATACAGAGAGAACTGACCTTCAACAAATCCTATTGGTACAGTACTAAAACTCATATGATGTGTTTTTCGTATTGAGAGGTACACAATCTAATCTCACTGTACACTGCATTCTGTTAAAACTGCAATAAACCAGCCTAATAGCTTTTGTACCTTTTTGTGTGGTTCTGTAGAGATTGAAATTGTATTTAGCCTTAGCAAACAATCAGTGCATCTATCTTAAACACTTAGTGACATGAAAGAAACCATAGTTATTTGTGTAGAAATTCACAATAAAAGCACAGACTCTCTGATCCAACATAAAAATAAACCTGATTTTTAACTTTGTATAGAAAAAAAGGAAATAATCCTGCAACAACACTCTCATAAAAATAGGATTATTATTTCAGCTTCTCAGGCACTTTGGACATACTTTGACAATGTATAGAGGAAAATTGGCTCCAAGTGCAGGGGAAAATGAGGTATGCTCCTGTGTTCTAATGCGTCAGCTGCAGATCAGTGCTCACAAGAGAAGCTTTCAAGCAGAAAGGAGTCTCTAGTGCCTTGTAAACAAAAAGTTAAAACTAAAGTAAAAAACAGCCTCATTTCTATCCTAAGAATTACAACTAAAGTTAATACCACAGAAGAAAAATACTTCATTCATGTCTTAATGTACTGTATATATGGTTTGAGCATTCAGATTAGCTTTAGGATCAGTTTTACGCAGCTCCATTAAACTAAATCCAGCCCGAAACGGTAATCCTCAGTCCTGTTCATTTATTTTCTCATTCTGATTGACATTCTGGTTGTCTTACAGCAGACAGTACAGATGTTTCTTTATAAAGAAATTCCTTACTGAGGTCCTCCACTAGCTGACTTTCATCTTGGCATATCCGTGCACAACTGTTGTCGTCAAACAGCTTTCCTCGCTTGAAATGTTTGCATTCCACGCAATCCCTGGACAAAAAAAAAGCAGGAAAGCCAGTTCACGGCTAATCATGAGAGAACTTTGCATTCAACTGATTGAATTATTTATACAGTAGATATATAATATTTTTCTCATTATATACTGTACATTTACATTGGCTAAAGTGATTTTAATACATTCTGTCAAAGCAAAATCAAGCTGAAGATGAAAATATTAATAATTTAGTAGCTCATTGAAGAAACCAAGTCAACCAAGTCAGAGAGGTCTGTGATGATGATAAATATGTCTATATCTCTTACAGAGCCACTCATTTTCTAACCTCTTCAACCCAGGTCCCAATCCCCAATGCTAACCACTGTGCCACCCCAATCCAAACCAATCCAGAACTAATCCGGCTTCCTCATGACAGACATGACCAGGAGATGACACTTACTTCTTGAAAGTGCAGACGTCTGGGCAGGTGGGACACTTCTCACAGGTGGCGCCATAAGCCCCCGGCTGGGTGCACTTGCAGGTGCCACACTCACACTTGCCACGCCCGCTGCACAGCAGGCCAATGCTGGACATGCAGGTGTCTGTGCGCATGGAGCAGTTACAGTTCTCTCCTTTCCAGTCAGCATCGCACTTGCAGGTCCCGCAGTTGCACTCACCATGACCTAGGCCAACACAAAATAGCAACCAGCTCAAGGCATGAGATCCAGCCAGAGAGCTGGTACCCCTAAATATTATTCTGCCATCTCAGCTCCCACCCTATTTTAGGCAGTAACTAACGTCCAGTATTGTCTTAAATATACAACAAACGACAATGAGCCTATATTGCATATACTGTAGAGGGTATATATAGGGCTTTTAAGAGCAAAGCCTATATTGTAAATGCTGGATGTCGAATGGCAGATTGGTGTCTGAGAATTTTGGCTCTGGCTTGTGTGCCAACTCTGCCTATACCCAGCGGTATAAAACTGGGGTCACCAGTGTAACACGGGCAGAGTGGAATAGTACAACACAATTTAGTAGCATTTTACCATTTTAGAAGGTAAATGATACCAATAATAAAATTAATAATAATACTAGAATAGAATGTAAGGAAAGACAGAATTGACAATCCGAACCCTCAGGCGTTCTCAGAGTTCCTGGATACCATTCTGCCAGAACTTTTACTTACAAAACTGAACTATTTGTGTTCTTTTTCGTAGAATTTGCCTGCTGGTTATGACATTCATTTTTTATGTATGTTAAAGCATAAAAGCATTAGCTTTTAACATTACTGTTGGTGAAAGACATTTACAGAAGTGCTCCTAAACGATTTCAGAATAAGCCAATGACTTAATCACTGGGATAAGAAAATGCCATATTTGGTTTAGAACTGGAAGTGGAAAATAATTTTATTCAATTGAAATTTGGCAAGTAATATCTCTAATCCTCCTTTCCTTTCTTCAACATTATGAGCCTCTCGCTGTTCTTATGAACTCTACCCATCTCTGTAAAAAGTGCATTCCATGTACTCAGCATAAAAGCCTGTGTAAATTCTCTCTGGGCAGTTCTTTGGATGATTGACTTGTGTGTTTAGACAAGAGCAGTGAGAACTTGTAGTCAGCCAAGCTATTCTAGCAATGGAGATTAAGTGTGTGTTGAGGGCTGCAGCTCAATGCCTCACTAGCACTGTATCTGTAACCAGCAAAGAAAGATAAACACTCCTTAAGGAAGAGGGGGTGAGATAAACTGACCACAGCACAGAACAAGAGAACCCTGTCCATGCTCTTAATTCTGAAATATGGAGATGGCTTAATCTAGTTTCCAAGAAGAAAAAAACATTTAATTTACAAAGTTGTTTTCCTACTGGAATTTAAATTTAGGTCCAACATCATTAGCAATAGCTCTGAAAGCCTTTTTACCCTACCCTGTCGACCTGCGGGAGAAACAGTTCAAGCTGTGCTAATTGAACTGGGGCAGAGGCATTGCATTTAAGGGGGTAGGGGCAGCAGGCTTTTAGGGAAATGCTTTTTAGCCAGTTTTTGAGTAAAAAACAACACACTTATTGCGATAAGACAACTCATGGCTCTGTTAATTAATAAAATCTGTGCCACCAATTAAAGTCTCCTCCCAGAAGAACTCAAACTAATATATGAGCAGGGTGAAAGGAATTTATAAATTTGAAATATGTTGAATACACTAGCCAATAAATGCGAGTGAATCCATAAACATTTTATCTTGTAATTATTGAGACCCATCTTCTCATACCTTCTTAATTCCTCCCATCCATCAGCTTATTTTCTTAGCAACACGTCAGACAAACCATTTTTAATTATTTAAGCAAACACGTCGTTGCAAAGAATCATGTACAAATTCTGCCGAATGAATACATTCTGTCTGCTTATCCTATTTATCACCTGACACTTTTTCTCCCCCCCTCTGAGTGTAATTCTAATTTAAAGCCAGAGTGAAGAAGATTTTATTTGTTCCCCGAGGAGAATGAAGAGTGGCTACGCCTTATTAGGAATGTAAACATTCCAGCTCCCCATGTACTAGTTGCCTGAAGATATAAATTCAGAGTCAGAAAACGATCAACTAGAGGGAGCAGTTCTTGCCAGACAGCTAGTAACCAGTTCTGATTGCTCTGTTGCTACCAGAACATTACATACATGAGGGTTGATGGCGATGTTTATGATTTAATGTGCTACCAACTGGTTCCTTTTGATTTACTTGCTTAAAGACACCATGCTGTATTTCCCTTTTAGACACAGCTACAGACTAGGGATCTTCTCTGCCTTTATGTAGCACTTTTTTGCCAAAGGATCCCCAAAACATATTACTTATAGGGGAAGACTGCATTTATCCACCATCAAAGGGCAGCCTCTACTCACCAGTCAGCCATTTTGTGCCAATATAACTAGCTGAATTAAGAGGGCATTGTTCCAAGTTAGTGTGGAATTTAGCCTAGACACTAGGATTGACAGTCTTACTCTTTTGCAAAGTGCCAACGTACAGTAGCTTAGAGATAAGAGATCAACAGGAAGTATCAGGGAGTCTACCTACTACCACAACAAAAAAAAAATAAGGGTTTAATGGGCTCAGATTTTGATTCCATATGATTAGCGAATCATCTGGTTAATCACAGTGAAATTGTTCACGTTTTTAGGAATTACTGAACTACAAAACCTGCTGGATTAGAATTCTCCAAAATCAGGGCTGGAGCCACATTTATTACAATACATTGTATTTTGACAATATTACAATAGTGACAATTTAATATCGTCAATAGGTACCAGCTGACAATTTTAAATTTAGCATTCATGCCGAAAAAGGCACAACAGCTGAAAAGTGGTTTCTCCTTTCTACTTTTCAGTGTGGAATTTACCTTTACTTGTTCCTCTGCAGATAACACACACGGAGGCAGCTTCCCTCTTAAACCTCACTTACTGTAACATTGTAAGCAGTACATATCATAGTACAAAGTTAAATGTATTTTACTATGCTAATAACCTTTTAAAAATATAGTTGCATGATCCCATAGCACAAGCCCTTGTTAAAAATGTACATGTACAGTATCTCACTTTTGAATCCAGGCTATCTTACAAACAGAGGTACATAGAAACCTCTGAGGTACATAGAAATTAATATAATGACTGATATAAGAAACAATGAGTGTTGGCTAGCTGCTTACAGTATATACTGTACACTATATACTGTATACAGTATATACATCTCTTAACATGTTGTAAGTAAACTAATTCTGTTGTAGAATTTATTAAAACTGGAAGAAAAGCCTATGGTCTTTTTTTTAAAGTTTGTTTTCTTAAGCAGGTTTATGTTAGTGAAAAAAAAGACAGGAACAGCTTTTTTGGTCCTCTTTAAGCCAGAAAGAGGAGAAACACGAAAACTCCAAAATGAGTTTAATTTCCCCTGATTAAGTCTCCTGGGAGTGACTTGGGGATTATGCAATAGGGAGGAATGTTTGGAGCCTGCTGGAGAATGTTTTATTGACAAGAGAAACAGCCTAGTCATTTCTTCCCAACATTTGCTAAAAAAAGGATACTGTGCATATTCAAAAGACAATAAGCCAGACATAATGCAGTTGGCATTGTTTTAGAAAACAAGAATAAAATAATTAAAATTCAGGCTTCAGGCTAGAATTAAAGATGTGTTGGGGGAGGGGTAGTGTAAGATTAGTAGTAGCAATCAAAAATGCAAATATATTCAGTGATGTTTAGCCTGTTGTGCCAAGAGAAATACAAAGAAATAAGGCAGAAGAAAGTAACAGTTTATTTGCTTGTTAGGTGAATTTCATATCCCATTGACCCAGTGTTGTTTCATTAATACCTAATCCCTTAATAAGAAAGACATAGGTGCAAAATCCAAAGGTAAACAGCTGATTGTTATTTTAAAATAGTGGCAAATAAGAGTTTAACTGTTCATGTATCGAATAGCTCTACTCCTTTTCCTCATTTTCATTTTCTTTGTCACACCATGCCACTCAACTAGTGCAGGGCAAGTTAAATAGTGAATTCTCAATCTTGGATTTATCAATTTAGAAAGTCCTTCTTTGTTTGTTGTTCTTAGTTTATCCCTTATGTATCAGGCCAAGAATCACGAATGCTTCTGCATAGTGTCCTGGTATATACAGTAAAGAGCTGGAGGGAGTTTCTAGGCTGTTGGTTAAAAGAGCTGTCTTGGGCTGTTTATTATCCTTGAAGTAAATACCAGCCAGTGCAAAAGGATCCAAAGAAAAATTATAAAATATGATAATAGGAAAGAAAAAAACAACAAAAACAAATCACTTAGGCTCTTAGGCTTAAAGTATCACATCTCTACAGTATGGAACTCTTACATCTGCAATGTGAGAGAAGCTAAAATTAGCTTAAGAGGTAGAAGAAAAGAAATTTAATGTTTTTATAGCGTTCATCGTATACATCGTATAAAATACAATTCAAATCAAATAATTAAAAAAAAGTTGTTTTATATAGCTGCAATTGTATAGTGGAATGAAATGCTGAAGTGAAAAATAAACAAATTCAAAACATTTGTTTTTCCCAAATGAATGTTTTGTTTAAATTGTTTTCTCAATTGCAATTTGCAATTTGTAAGATAAAAAATAATATGCATCCTTGTTCAGGAGGACTATTCAAGAAGTGACCTGAAGCTTCATCAGTATAACTCTGAAGAAAAACATGTGTATGCGGTATCAAGTACTTTCTTCTTGTTCATTCCCTTTCTGTGATTTTAATAACAACAAAAAAGACAATATCTACTGTGTAACAGCAGAAGTTTTATTCCATATTGAAGCTGTGCTGACAGTTTATTTTTCCACTTTAGCTTTTCACATTTTTTAAAATAATGTGAAACATCTAAAAGTTTGGAAGATAAATGTTAGCGAAAGGAAACTCCACCTTTCCTTTTGTTCTTATGTCAGAGATGTACTGTAGAAACAAAACTGTAAAGACCCCTTCACCCTACCAGGGTGTATCAATAGACTCAGTTTATTTCTACGCAACACAAGGCAAATTTAGTTCAAACTTTGAAACTGCAAAATAGTGCAATAAAGCTTTAGTCTTTAGGAAGCATTCAAAACAGCTCCTCACACAACATCCTACACAATATCTGATATTGAACAAATCATGTCTGAACGTGAACATACTGTACTTTCTGAGTGAAGTACTTTAGCTCAGAAGAGGCCTCTGAAGTGCTGATTGTGCTCTGGGTTTTAAATGCAGACCGTGCAGATCTTTTAGGTTTTAAACATTGCAGGTTAACAAATTACTCCCAGTTTCTGGAGAATAAAACCTTTAATTCCTGTTTCTTTTCCTTTTCCAAGCGACATCACCTTAATATCCCATATTAGTAACCGAGAAAGTGCACATGTACTGTAGCTCCTGCTCAAGTCCCCCCTCTCTGAGGATTTCCCGTGTTAAGATTCCTATGGTACTTTGCCATCCCACTCCTGGCAACATACTGAAGCTCAGCAGGTGTGAGCCTGGCCAGTACCTGGATAGGAGACCTCCTAGGAAAAGCTGAGGTTGCTGCTGGAAGCGGTTTAAGCTGGTTTAGTCCTAATACCCCCATATAGTGACGGGGACACTATACCGTAAAAAGGCACCATAGTATCTTTGGAAACAAATGGCAGTGTCTCAAAGCACAGGAAACAATTAAACACATACAGTACAGTATGTCAAGACCACAGTATAAGTGCATAAAATTCAAGGTTCAGGAGGGATAACAGCTACAAGTCTGTCTTACACAGCTGCACTGAATCACCCTCATCACCGAACTAGCTAATAAACTGAACTCAAAAGCCTCCTTGTCCTGTCATGGAGGCTGCCCATTAACCAAACGGGTTAAGTCAAACTTTTCTCACCAATCCAATTATTCCAATCATTCACAAAGCATTCAGTCCTTGGATATTGTTGTCCCTGGTGTATTCTATGTAAAATACAGCTAGATGATTAAGTTGCAAATTTGTAAACAATAATTCATTTAGAGAGATAGTTTAATTTATATGAATTCGGGAATTACCTTACCACTTCCTGTCAGTAAAACATCTCTTCTAATCAGCACAATATCAACACATACTGTACAGTACTAAGCAAAAGCATTTGGAACACATACAGTACCACAGACTCCGTTTGAAACAGAAACAACACAACCACTCAGGACAGAACGGCCATGCATACGGTTGTGACATCTGCAGAAACAACTCACAGCATCTGACCTACAGTACCATCAGTTAAAAAGATCTA